ATTACATTTTATATAAATATATACAATATTATAAAAATTAATTAATAGATCTGTAGGATATTATCAAGAATCATAACATCAAATATTTATTGCAAAATAAATTGATTCTTCGATACATAGTTAACAACTCGAAATGAATATAATTTATGAAAATTTACGTTGCATAGTTAACGATCTTATTCTATAATGAGAAATTGCTCTCTTTGTTCTCTAATTACCGAACACCCTGTATACAATTTGTGTACGCGTTTGTTCGTAATTTAAATATAACTAGAAATACTTTTTATTAATTGTACGGATAGGATTATGTACAATTAATATCTGGCAATTGACTCTGAAATTTAATCATAAAGAAAAAAGTTGTCGGCAAGATACAGATCGCCATAGAATATGCCCATAAAAAATGAAAAAAAGAGGATCGATAGCAGATACATCTTTTAAACGAAAAATTTTCACTTTTTGTTAGATTTGAAATGGAGAACTATGCATCTATAAAGACGTTAATTCTTTGGTATAATGTCTTTCTTTTCTTTTAATTTCTTTTAAGAAAAATTTAATTCTCAAAGAAAACAAACCAGTTCCTATCTTTTTAGGGCATTTTGTAGGCACTTATAATTTTTTTCTAAATCACGCATTTTCGGACAAACAACTTTAGTCTTTATGATATCATCGCCTAACGATAATCAGGAATGCCGTATCGCAGTAAAATATATATATAAAATATACATATATATATATATATTTACGCAATTATCCTTATAGTTCTATACACGTAGCTAACAATATTTTTCTAAGTAGTCTAAGTGAAGCGCCAGACATACATCGACATTATGCGTTCGGATCTTATTAAACACAATAGAACAGTAGCATCACCCAAAGAAAGGTTTTTTTTCAATTCAAAGAAATGTTTTTTTGCGATTAAAGAAAAAATTTCTTTAATTTAAACATTATTTTTTTAATCAAATAAAATTTAAAGAAATTATGTTCATCAAAGAAACTTTCTTTAACTAGCAAAGAAACATTTTTTTTA